CAGGGAAACGACGGTGCGCTGACACAAACAGACGCAAGAGAAGGTTTTCAACGAACGTATCGTGAGGAAATGAAAATAGAGCTCCGGCAAGTTCACGCGCACACGCACCACAACGGCTGAAAATAGAAGTGCGGAAGGCAAGCGCTGGCGGGGTCACGGGAGAGCTGGTGCTCGAGCACCGTGGCCGGAGACGCGCCGTGAACCGCCACTGTGCACAGCGCTGACGCCGTTTCTGGTCAGATCGGTCACCCGCAGCTCAGCTCTGAGTGTCTGCTCCCTGACACGTGCAGACGTGTGCCCACGTCTTGCACACGCATGCGTGCACGCACACAAACCCAGGTTTATTCTGGAAGAAGGGAGCAAAGAGGACATGAAAACACAAAGCAGTCATCCAGGAGGCTGGTGGATGTTCACGGGAAACCGTAAGTTCATCTCCCAGTCAGGAAAGGAAGCAGAAACAGACAGCCCAGAGCAAAGGCTCACACGTGCCGACTCGATAAAGACTCTAAAAAACGAAACGAGATGAGAAAAGCTTTGAAGCGACAGATGCATGCGCTACACAAGGGAGCACCGCAGACACAGCACGCATGAGGAGAACCGAGTCCAGAAATCAAGACCATGCACAGACTGATGCCGCCTACGAGACACTAGGAGAGAATGACGCTCTCGTGTAAAGCCTGTGCCCTCGAGGACGGGCTCTGGGCCATGCGAGGGGACACACGACCCTGGGTTCCCACATGGTCCAGAGGAGGCAGCGAGGGGCGTGACGACGGAAGGAGGACACTTGTCAAGGTGGAGACCCGCGAACCCCAAACGGGGCAAGACCCACCACACAAGGGGGGACCACGCGCACGTCTCGCTGAACCGCCGTCGCTGAAGCGCCCCAGACAAAACGTCCTGGAGTCAGGAGACACGCACACCAGCCGGGCCCCGCAACGCCACTTCCTGCGCATCCGATGTCAGGCGTCAGACATCCGCCACCCGAGCCTGGTGACAACACGCGTCTGCAGCCTGGCCTGCTCACCCCTGCTTGTCCCAAGCACACGGACGACGTGAAATGACACGCACACGTGGTGCCCATCGCAGGGTCACCGCAATGGCCAGCGGCCCCTGTGTGTGTCCCTGCGACGAGGGGGCCGGTGAATGCAGACGGTGGCTTGTGCCCGCGGCTGAGTGCTATGCGTGTGCAGGAAGAAGGGGCGCAGTCCTGGCGGGGCACCAAGTCCAGGGCATCGCGCCAGGCCCCCCCTGCTTCCCGCGGGGGCTCCGGGGACGACGTGAAGGTCTGCTTCTTACCACCGACACCGACTTCTTCACCAGCCAGCGGGCCGAGAGAGCTCAGCTCGTGTCAAGCCCAGCGACTCACACACACGATCACACAGGCTCCTGCCGCAGCCACGGATCGGGCGGCTTGTTCGCCAAGTTCCGGAAGGAACGGGACGGGGCGTGCGGGGCTTGGGCGGGACGGGACGGACCCCGGCAGAGACGCTGACCGCAGGCGCCCGGCCACTGCCGCGGGGCGAGGAGCCCTGGCGTGCAGCCGGGGAGCTCGGCGAGGGCCAGCGATCGACACAGGCGAGCCTGCGCCGGGAAACTCGGACGGGTCCCAGAGACCGACTCCGCGCGAAGGGAAGTCTCAGAGGTTTCACGACGCGGGAAGCGCAAAGCTTCGACGTTGGAAGCAGAGTGGAGTCAGGCGGGACAACGGGCCGAGGCAGAGACGAGGCGCTCACTCTGCACCACATGCCATGTGACACGGGGACGCGCCGTGCTCGAGGGCGCTCGTTAGGGTTTTGCCAGCTAATTAAACACTTCGGCGTTCACAGAGTTTCTAACGTGTTCAGTCCCGGGACACGGACTATTGGTCTCGCGATCGTCTCCGTTTCCCAACACGCTTACGGCGCCCCGTAAGCGAGGTTTCCACGCCTTGACAGACAGGTCTTAACGGTGCCAGTGTCACTTCCGCCGGACGGCACTGCCTGGCTTCGGCTCGCACGGTCGGGGATGTCCGTGGTCCCACGCTACAGGCAGAGCGAGAACCGCCTGGACGGACGAGCCGCGAGCGCCAACACGACGTTCGGCGAGGAAACACCCTCGTGCACAACACCGTGCTGTGTACCTGAGAAAGGTATGAAATTAGACACGTGTGAACTTTCTCACGTACGTACGTCTTTCACGGCACGCGCGTCTAGGCGTAGAGATGCGCCGAACGTTGGAACACGAGACGAGCAGCAGGTAAAGCGACGCCGTGAACACTGCTCGTTTTGGGTGCAGGAAGACCACAGAGGTGGAGACGCATGGGCAGAAACTGTACCTCCCTGAATACGTCTGGCTCTTTGGTCTGGACCTCAGAAGCACATGCTTTTACCAATGTTTTAAGGAGCCAATCGCCTCAGGTCATGACCTCGCACTCTCGAGAGTTCAAGTCCCATGTCGGGTCCCGTGCTGACAGTGTGGAGCCTGCTCGGGATTCTCTCTCTCTCTCTACCCCTCCCCGACTCACGTTCTATCTCTCTCGAAGTAAACTTAAAAAAAAAATTTAGTTTAAAAAATATAAAAAGCCAATCCCCAACTGATCCTCTAACACAAGTGTAACCCGAACGTCGAAACCACACAAAGGAATCATGAGAAAAGTACAAACAGGACCACCTATGAATATAAATAAACCAAAATCAACAAGAAAATACGAGCAAACAGAATCCAGCAACGTATAAAGAGGACTATGCACCCAGACCGAGTGGGAAGCACCCCAGGAATGCAAGGTGGGTTTAACCATGGAAAAATCAGCTCACGGAATACACGGTCTCAGCACAAAAAGCGTCTTAGCAGATTCAGAAAATGCATGTGAGGAATTCAACATCCTTTCCGAATAAACACCACACGCCAGGGGTGGCAACAAACATCCTCAGCCTGACAGCGGTACCTGTGAGAACCCCATGACCAAAGTCGGGCCTGATGCTGCTGGAAGAGCGGATATTTGCCCCTCTAGCCCACGATTCCGCTGGTCTCTGGTGCCACACGGGACGCGCTCGCACAGCCGTCGGACACGGTGAAGAAGCGCCACATCCACACCGGGAAGGAAGAAGTCAAACTACTTGTGCGTGTCAAGGACGCGATCGTGCGTATGTGAAACCCTGGTGACTATGCCAAAGCAGCACTGGAACTAATCCGTGAGTCTATGAGGGTGTGGGACACAAGATCGATGCACAGTAATCAACTCCATTTCTACACACTTGCAACGAACAACGTGAACATTTAGGAAACGATTCCAGTCATACAAGCATCAAAAACAGTAACGTGCTCCAGAAGAAATGTAGTAACAGATGTGCAAGGGACACTTGAAAACCACCAAACGTTTCTAAGAAAAGGTAAAGATGTAAATGAACAGAGAGACAACCTCTGTTCGTAGACCGGAGCGCCAACACTTCCCGAGACGACGTACAGATTCCCAGTGACCGTCGTCAGATGCCTGCTGGCATCTTTGTAGAAACCGAGAGGCCGGTCCTGAAATTCACACAGAGCCTCGCGCCGCCTGAAACAGCTTGAACGCGAAGACTCGGATGTGCTATGCGGCCCTGTTCAGAAACCTACTACAAAGCAACTAATCTAGACAGTGTGGTTCCGGCACGAAAACAGAAACACAGGGCCACGGGACAGGATCGGCGCCCGCTAATCAACCCGCACGTGACGATGCACTGATTTCCAATGAGGGAGACGAGACCAGTCAACGGGAAGGAAGGGTCTCCTCCAGCAGTGGCGAAGGGACCCCTGGATTTGGACACACACAGAGATGACGTTTGTGGGTGCCCGGCTGGCTCAGTCGGTGCACTGTGGAACTCTTGATCTCGGGGTCGTGCATTCGAGCCCCACACCGGGGGTAGATGTTACTTAGAAATAAAATTTAAAAAAACAAAAAAAGATGAAGTTGTGCCCCAATATCACTGTATACAAAACTCAAGATACATGCATAAGTAAAACTGTAACACTCATACGCATATAAACAAAAAACCTTCACGACTGAGATTTGGCAATAAATTCTTGGCTAGGACCCAAAAAGCACGACCAATGAAGGAAAAAGTACATAAAACGAAGTTCATCAACACGAAAGGCTTTCTGTGTGGCACAGGACATGACCTAGGAGGGGAATATGCAGCGAGGGAACAGGAGGAAACACGTTTACACCACGTAAGTGATGAGGGACGCGTGTCTGGACACAGAGGCTCTTAATATTCACGCTGAAACGACAACCACTTGAGACACGGGGCAAAGGCCGTAGACACGCGTGGGTCCAGAGGTGTGCATACGGCCAACACACGCGTGAAACAGGGTCGCGGTCGACAGTCCTCGGGGAAAAGTGCAAGCCAGACCCACAACGAGGCCCCAGCGCACGCACGTCTGCGATCAGAGAGACGGCTCACGCTGGCACGGGAGCAGCGGCACGGGAACCGCACACACCGCTGGGTGCCACGAAACCGTGCAGGCGGTCCGGGAGAGGTTTCGTGGCTCCACAAGCATCGGGCGGCGTTCCCACGTGACCCCAGCCACGCAAGTCCAGGAGAGAGGTGTAGGGTGTGCGGCGACCCTGGACCCGGCCGGGTCACATCTGCACGCATCAACACTCGTGGAACGCACCGTGTGCGGACACACAGGGCCGCGGAAGCGCACACAAGGCGGCAGCAGCTCGGCCGAGCCACCACCTCACTCCACGGGGTGCAAGCGTGGACCGTGGGCCGGTGCCACCCGCTCACAGGAACGGCACCCTGGACAGGGAGAGACACGGGGTCGGAGGGGCCGGGGAAGGCGTGCGCAGGGCCTCTAGGCGCCGGGTCCCTAAGACGTGCACACGTTCACACCCGCTGACCCCGGGAGGGCATCCACACACACCTGGGTTCTCCCGCGTCCGGGACTACCGTTCCGACGACGTGCGTAAGCAGGACCCCGAGCCGCGAGCCCGCGGAGGGGCTGAGGAACGTGTGCCGCTCTCACGCAGGGGCACCCACCTTGGCCACGCGGCCCATGTCGTCCACGGTGGCCCTCTCGTGCGGGAACTGGGCGAAAGTCCGCTCGATCTTGGCGATGACCGCGTCTACGTTCACGGTGTCCCGGGGACGGCCGCGAGGGAAGTAGAACGCGGGGATGCTTTCGCTGCTGGCGGGCGGCAGGGGCTCCTCCTTCTTCGTCTGAACCTGAGACAAAGCAGACGGCAAGCCCGTGAGGACTGGGAAACGTGCGTGGCCTCAGCTAACGTGACGAGCGGAGCCAGTGGCTCTAACGAAGTGCACCGAGCACCACAGACCCGACGTGCACAGACGACCGCACACGCTCCCTGTGGGTCACACAACACCCCGGACCCGACGTGCACACAGGACGGCACACACTCCTGGGGGTCACACAGACCTGGATTCAATGTGCACACAGGACCACACACGCTCCCTGTGGGCCACACAGCCCCGGACCCGACGTGCACACAGGACCGCACGCGTTTCCTGTGGGTCACACAGCCCCGGACCCGACGTGCACACAGGACGGCACACGCTCCCAGGGGGTCACACAGCCCCAGACCTGACATGCACACAGGATGGCACACGCTCCCGGGGGGTCACACAGCCCGAGACCCAACATGCACCCAGGACCACACACACTCCCTGTGGGTCACACAGACCTGGACCTGACGTGCACACAGGACCGCATGCACTCCCTGTGGATCACACCTTGGGCCGACGTGCACACAGGACCGCACACAATCCCTACGGGTCACACGACGCGACAGTGAGCGCCAGTCCTCCACAGGTCCTCCCCACGTAGCCGCCTTCGGCCCTGCGTTGCAGGTGGCCCCTCAGGACCCCAGGACGGGAACGGGTGAGGCCCGGGCTGACCGGCATGGATGCTTGGCAAGACCCTGCCTGCAGGCCCATGGTGGGGGCAGCACCAACTCTGTGGTCCCCCTGCAGTCCCCAGGGGTTCAGAGCCAGCCCCGCGGTCCCCGCGTCCCCAGGGATGAGCCAGGTGGACACAGATGATCAGACAGCTGCATCCAGGAAAGGGTGAACTTCGTGTGCGGCTTATGTGTGTAACCGCTTGTTCCCACACACATGCTTCCTGCACAGGGACACGCCCTCCACCCCGACACGCGGGTCCCACACACATAGACACACACACGCTTCCTGTACAAGGATGCGCGCTCCACCCTGACACGTGGGTCCCTCGCACACACACGTGCGCACACACACACACACACACACATTTCCTGTACAAGGACGCGCGCTCCACCCCG